GTAGTAGTAGTAGTAGTAGTAGTAGTAGTAGTAGTAGTACTACTACTACTACTACTACTACTAGTAGTCGTAGTAGCACTAGTAGTCGTAGTAGTAGTAGTAGTAGTAGTAGTAGTAGTTGTTGTTGTTGTTGTTGAATAAAAATCACAGCAATTTGGGCGCCACTACGTTCTTTACTACTCAAAATCACGATCAGTGCTCCAGGAAGCGTCGTGGTGGCATCAACTTCTGTCATTGAAGAAGATCCAGGCTCCGTGATGCATGCGATGCAGTGGTGATCATGACCAATCACGCACTTGCGAGTCTTGCGATGCATTACTTGTGTTGAACGTCAGCTACATAGTCCATGTGACATTGTGGAGGATACGCTGGTTCTTGTCAGTATTGCCGTTTTGCCTTGTCAGTCATTGTCATGGGATCCACATTCAAGTGAACTATGTGAAAGCCCGCTGCTTGGAACCACTGAAAGTATTGGTGGCTTGCAGACTTCCGCTCGCAGACTCTCGTGCTCCACATGGGCCAGGGGCTTCCCGTCCAAGTGAAACTCCCCTGTGGCATCGGTGAACCTCCGAGGTGCCGAACTTTGGAAAAGGCCATGACAGCACATCGCCACACGAGAGAGCGGAGTGATGCGAAGTGGGCGGCCAGTTTTGACAGGAAAAGCACCAAAACAGCTTCACATGCATATGTGAATGCATGTGTGCTAAACTTAAAGACTTGCACCCGGACATACATGCACACCTTGCTTCCTGCCTACGTACGTGCGTACATGCTTGTGCTGATGTAGCACGGTCGTACAGGTGCCGGGGCCACTCCCACCAGTACGTGCACACGTACCCTCCCCCGGTCCGGAAACTTGCGCGATAGGAGCCCCCGACATGTAGACTGCGCCCCAGTGGTGGCCGAGGTCATGCCTTCTTCTGGAGTCGGTCCCGGACACGCCGGCGCCAAATGGTTGTGAAAAGTCTGGCAGTGCAGAACATGTGGCACGAGCTCATGAGCTTTACATGTGTCAAGAACCATGTGCAACCCTTGGCCGTGTCAGGCTGTGTAAGCTGTCGCACATGAACGTGACTTGGTCGTCGGAGTTTAGCCGTAATGAGCAGTGCTGCAGTTTCCCGGGAGTAGTTGTTTCCGTGACTGCGCAGGGACATTGTGTTTACGTTTTGTGGTCAGGCCGTGTTAGACATGAGTTTGCTCACTTGCAAATAAGCGATTATGCTGAGACTGAAGCTACTTTGTCATCTTGTGTACCAATCTGGTTACGATCTGAGCCATGATGGCCATTGATGTGCAGACTCCGTTTGCCAGCCCACGCAAAGGCAGCACAGAATAGACTTGTTGGGTCAGAGGTACAGTTGCAAGGTCTTGTTTCAGCCCCGCAGCCTCCGACAGACGTTCAGTCCACGAATGAGTGAATGGGTTTAGGGTTTAGGGTTTAGGGAATTGTCCACAAATTTTTGGGTTCGGGAGCTTGGGCAAGCTTAATCCCTATAGGCTTTCTAGCGCATGAGAGATCGAGGGTGTAAACAAACGCTGCTGAACTCCAAGGCCCCAGACCTTTCATGCAAATTCTGACATCGTAAACCCTTGACCTTGCAGCCCCCATCCGCACCGTGTCCATACCAACCTGCAGGCAAGCGTGACATGCGGGCCGAATTGGCAGCCTGGCAGGCCAATGGTGTGGGGTTAAAGAGTTTAAAGTTGGAGGGTTTAAGGCTTTAGGGTCTAAGTTTCCAACTTTGTAAAGTTAAGTTGCGGGTTGTAAGTTTCAAGGGTGTGGGTTTGCAACGGGGGGTTTGATGTTTAGGACTCAGGGGTTTGAGGCTTTCGGTTATATTGACTGGAGGTTGAGGATATAGTGTTGAAGGTCGGACGTGTTTGTGGTTTCACTTACGGGACTTTAGATCTCTTAGTGTTTCGGGCCCACTCGGCTTAGATTTTGGAGTCTGGGTTACGCCGGAGCCAGCTCGTGAGGTTCATGGTTGAGGGTAAGGTTCATTTTGGATGCTGCCGTGGGCAGTTTAGGTTGGGTCGAGATGTGTAGGCCGAGGTGGCTTGGGGATTTGGGCCCTAAACCCTGAACCCTAAACCTAAAACCCTAAACCCTAAAACCCTCAAACTTGGTAAAGTCCAGACCTGTCCCAGCCCTTTTCAGACTCTATTGCTCAGAGGCGGCTCAGCGATCTCAGCAGCGCCAGGCCTGTTGAGGGGTTCACGGCCCACGCCTTCGTTTTTTTGTGCTACGGCCCAGGTTTAGGGCCGGTTTAGGTTTTAGGGTTTAGGTTTTAGGGTTTAGGGTTTAGGGTTTAGGGTTTAGGGTTTCGGGTTAAACCTACGCCCTAAGCCCAAAGCAGCTTGGAACTGCAAAGTTCAGAGGTAGTCAGTCACTGATGATCCGACTGCTTCAACCACTCCCGGAAGCCTTCTCTAAGCAGCCGGCCTCTTGAAGCTCTTTGCCTGAACATCGAGGAGACCGAGCAAAACAGCTCGACACCCAGGCCCGAAAACCGAACGCCCGGAATCTCAAGACCCGTCCTTGCAGGTTCCACGAATCCCGCTTCACCAGTCGCCAGGCCCACGGCTTGAAACTCTGTGGGCTTCTAACGTTATCCTCCCCGTAAGTCTGAATGTCGGGCCAGCATCGCCGCCGCCATCCCCAACCTAAATCCTCAAGCCGTAAAGTCCTTCCGCAACCACTGAACCTCAAAACCCTCGACTCACGACCCTCACCCTCGAATCCTCGACAATCAGCCCCAAACCCCCCCGTGCCAAAACGGAGCGCAGGGCCGTTGCAGGCAGCGCGCTTGGATCGCAGCCCAGGTGCCTTGGTTAATCGTGATACAGGCGGTGATGCTGATCGTAGCGTTGTTTCATCATGTAGTAGCAGCAGCAGGAGGGGTCGTCGTCGTCGTCGTCGCAGTCGTAATGGTAGTGGTCGTGGTGGCCCCAAAGACAATAAAGCCCGTAAGCACCTCACCCCCCCCGCCTTGGCCTTGAAACCCTTTGACCGTAAGCCTGCCCTAAACCTTAAACCCTGAACCCTAAACCCTAAACCCTAAACCCCCCCCGGAAAAAAAACCTGCCCCACAGCGCCTCGCTCCCATGGGCCTGCCAGGAGCGAGATTGACCCCGAGGTCGCCAAAGAAGGAGGCGTTTTGACGGTTTGGGATTGCAGGGTTCAGGGTCTAGAGCTTTTGGATGGTAGGATTGTAGGGTTTGAGTTTAGGATGACAGGCTTGATTTCAGGGTTTGTTCTTTAGGGTCACAGGGTTGATGTCTGTAGGGGCAAATTATAAGGCTTAGGATGCTTAGGATTATAGGGTTTGATTGCAGGGTTCAGTTTCAGATTACGAAAGATGTTAGAATCAGGTCTAACGTTTAGGATTAAACGGCTACGGTGCCTGCTGCTGGAGTGCGAGGAAGGGTCATGGCTTTGGGGTCATGAGGGGTTAGACCAGTTGGACTTTGGGTTTCGTCTGTTCAGATTTCGAGCAGTACAGGCCCGGAAGCCAGTCGCAAGGCGTTTAGGGTTTAGGGTTTAGGGGCTTGCGATCAAAGGTTTGGAGCCATTATGGGGTTTGGCGGTTTTATGGCTAGGGTTTACTCTTCGTCGCCACAGGTCAGCTTCGCAGGGGATATTCCTGTTAGATGGTGCCGCAAATTGACAGCCCAAACTAAACCCGAAATCCTGCGGAGCTAACAGTAAGTCCAAAGACGGCTCCATAATTACATATATATATATACATACATACATACACACATACATTATGTGTTTCTATATATCTATCTATCTATATATATATATATATGTGTGTGTGTGTATACATATATGTATATACATAATATATACACAATATATACATAAATAAATAAATAAATAAATAAATAAATAAATATAAATATATATATATATATGTATATATATATATATATATATATGGTTTTGTATATCGAGAAGTCCGCAGCCCAATTCAGATGCCGAGGCTCCAATAAACTAGCCACTTGGGCCGTCCTTGCGGAAGGTTTTCGCGCGCCCATATAAACCGGACAAACGCCCCGGCACTGACCCCGGTTTAGGGTTTAGGGTTTAGGGTTTAGGGTACTGACCCCTGAAAATCGAAGTGGCGAAACCTGGTGAACCTACAGGGCTCATTCGAACTGGAAGTTTCCCCCCGCCCCCCCCCCGTAGGACCTTTGCACCCCCCCGAGCCCCAAACCACAAGTATTCCTCTAAACCGAAGAAGAGGCTTAGCAACTCAAGTCTTAGTCTTAGGCCCGAAACCTCCAACCCCCCCCCCGAAGCCCCGACAGCCCCAGAGCCCCGAAGTCCGCGCCAGGCACCCCGGGCTGCTTTCAGCCCGGTGCGTGTGCCCCAGCGACCGGCGGGATGGTCCCAGGCCCTTTTTTGTTTTTCCCTTGCTTCGGGCTTTTTTCTTTTTTTGGGGCTTGGCGTAAGTAAACGGCCAGTGTACATCCCAGGATGGTCCTAGGTTCGAGGGGGTGGGTGCAGGGAATAAGACACCTACAGTACCGTCAGAGTCAGGGTTTAGGCTTTTTGGTTTTCGGGTTTAGGGTCCAGAAGGATTCGAAACTAGCCGTACCTCCAGCGGTTCAAGTCTAAGCGACCTTCAGTGAATCCGCCCACGGTTGCAGGCTTTACTGTCCCGGGAGTGTTTTGGGTTGTTTTTGGGTTTGGGTTTACGGTTTACGGTTTGTGGCTGTGAGTGTTGCATTGAGAATTTTGAGGGATCAAGCGACAGGCATGCCCGCCCCAGCACCCCAAGAAATCCGAGGCCTCAACCCGAAATGTCAAACATTCCATCCGAACTTGATCCCTCAACCCTAGAAGCCCCGAACCCTTGTATAAAGACATGCTACCCTCCTGTTCAACCCCTCGGGCTCGTCTAGAAGAAGCTTGACCTTCTGCTGACAGGTTTCGCCGCTACCTGGCGGAGGCCCTGCCCGAGTTGACGCGAGCAGAACGGTCGAGTGTTTGGGAGGAGGTTCAGAAGTGCAGGCTTTTGCTCCGAACTCACACCGGCTGCGAACGAAGCAAGCAATTTCTTCGGGAGCCGCACAGACCACGGCTATGACAACAGCCGGTGGGGAGAGAAATGAAGCAGTCATGGAACATGCGTGTTAATCTGTCGTTCCTGGTAGCAGTGTACTTGCGCTGTCAGAGAGCAACAGTGACATGAATGATGGTCCGAGTGTAGATAGTGTCAAGCAGAATTAAGGATCTAAGCCAGCATTGTTAAATCGTCACAAGCCGTGCCCTTGATTTTTTGTTCTCCTCATCCGTCTTTCTCGTGACCCATCTGACTTTGGTTCGGTTCCTCAACCCCCCCCCCCTAAACCCTAAACCCTAAACCCTAAACCCTAAACCCTAAACCCTAAACCCTAAACCCTAACCCCTAAACCCGCCCCGCAGTCAGGCGCACCGCACGGCAGCACCGACGCCGAGGCTGGGTTCTGGGGCTCTGTCTGGTGCTTAGTAGGGAATGGGGGAATGGGTTATAGGGACTACTATATGGGGCCTTATAAGGGACTATCATCGGGATCCATTCCCCCATTCCCTACTAAGCACCAGACAGGGCTTCGAGCTGAAGGGTTCAAGGGCCTGGGAAGGTGCCCTAAACCCTAAACCCTAAACCCTAAACCCTAAACCCTAAACCCTAAACCCTAGAGTTTGTGAAAGTTGGAGTAGTTAGTCTGGACCAAAAGATCTTAAGCCCTAAAACCTCAGCTCTAAACCCTGAACCTCGATCCTAAATTCCTAAAGCAACACCCCAAACCCCACAAACCTAAAGGGTCTCTTCAAAGGCCTCCGTTCTTGAAGACTGCCTTCAGGCCGCCGCCCCAGACGAGGGGAGTGTCCGTTGGGTCTTCGGGTTCACGGGTCGAAGGTATTGGGCTCAGGCTATCGGGGTTTGGGGTTTAAAATCTGGGGGCTTAGGGGTTCAATGTGTCAGGGCTGCGCTCAGTGTGGACGGTTTCCATGGTTTAAGTTTCAAAGTTTGCATTCGGGGTCAAGGGTCTGGAGTTATAGTTCAAGGTTTAAGGCTTGGGGTTCGGTTGATTCAAGAAAGCCGAGCCCCAGTACTCAGACCCAAACTGACATTTGCTGCTCCAGTCTTGCCATGGCTATCGTTCTCGAGCTTGACAGCCTTAGCTCAGCTTTGTGTGCTGATGACTCAGAGGAGGAGGGAAGACGAGCTCAAATGGTGTTTTTTTGTAGAGATCGTACAACAGCACAACGGTCCTCCCGGCGCGCCGCCGCACCTGAGGCTTACGAGGAGTTTGCATCGCTGCGCGTGCCGCCGAACTCGCCGGTGCAGCTCCGAGTTCCCCCCCCCCCGATAGCCCGTTCGTAGTTTCAGGGCTTGACTTCAACCCTTCGAGTTACGAGCCCATAAAAGTAAAGCCCCTAGGGCCTAGGAGTTATGAGCAGGCTGCAGGGTTTTGCACTCCTGAAGTTCCAGGGATCTCTGGTCATGTCCCGCGTGGAGGCTCAAGACGTCGAGTTTGAGACCTAAGCTCCAGGGATGAAATTTTCTTGGGGCTTAGGGCTTTGGGTTTAGGGTGTAGGGCTTAGGGTTTAGGGGATTCAGGCTTGACCGCATTTTCCAGCACGGCAGAGCGGCTTCGCCGAAGAAGCTCCTGTACTGTATCACAGAAGTCTGAGTACATTTCTTCTAAATTCGACGTTCTCATAGTCCGCGTAGAGTCGTCCTACAACGGACCTCCAAATCCTATGCTCATTGTTCGCGCTCCTATCCCATGTTACATATTCAGATTTCAATTAACCGGCCCTTTCAGGAGCAGCTATCCAGACACTCAGTACGCAGCGATCTTCTACATTCGATGGCCCTTGAAACTTCACTTTCGAAAAGAAATCAACAAGCCCTTAGCTCCACACGCCATATCTTCTGAGTGTTAAGTGCCCGTCAATCCTGAACAGCAAGGCTGCTTGCCCACCGGAGATGTTCCGAAAAGCACGATAGTGATGATGATGATGATGATGGTGATGATGATGATGAAGATGTTCGTGGTGACGGCTATTGCTAGTGCTACCGGTGTCCGCCGCACGGAATCCTAAAAGCCCGTGCTCGCGCAGAACACTTCCCTCACGCCCGCTGTGGCCGCGGCCTTCCGGGCGATGGAGCGTGAGCAGGCGCAGAATCGGGAGCCCTTTCTTGCGAAACCCAGCCTTTTGGAAGTCCTGTTCGCATTCCGGTTTGGGTCCCGGTTGGTACATCCAGGGCTCATGAGGCCTAGGAAGCAGGGCCCAGATCTCCATCTGCATCAAAGTCTCTACTTCTTTGGAGGTTGGAGCTTCTGGACGTGATGGTACATAGTACACCTTTAAGTATCTTTGAGTGAGAGTTATATAGAAGTGCAGTCTAGAGGCACATGCGATCGAAATAGTTGTTAATGGTCAGACTCTAGTATCTCTAGTACGTGACTTCCGGTCTTTCGACTCACAAGCCGTTGCAAGCAGCAATGGCTTAGGGATGAGGGTCTCGGGCTGGGAGCTCAGGCTGTTCAGCAACATGATTCCCCTCCACGATGCTAAACACGGACAACTTCGACTAGAGAACAGAGGACAGAGGACAGAGGACACTAATCTCGAGCAACCTCCTCGCATCAGGCCTTGACCCCACAACGCGGAGTGTAACGTGCTTGCTGCGCCTTTCTGGCCGGGTTGCCGGCTTGGGGACTAGGTTTCGGTTCCCTAAACCCTAAACCCTAAACCCTCAAAACAAGCATCTCGGCCGAAAGGTGCCTGCAGGGCAGTGCATGCGACGTGTTCTGGCCGGTCCCCCAAACTGGATTTCAACGAGTTTAGGGTTTAGGGTTTAGGGTTTAAGGTTTAGGGTTTTCAACTTCTGGGTTTCGGGGCTGTGATGTAGGGAGTGGGATTGACGGTTCAGGGCGCAGGGTACCCTGAACCCTAAACCGAGAAACCTCTGTCACTTCGGATATGAGAGTGACCCTGCACGCAACGCGTTCTTGAAGCTCAAGCCGGCTGAAGCCTACTATTGTTCTGGTTTCGCAAAGCCTAGACTCAGACCCTTAACCCAGTTTATGCCTGCAGGTTATGGTGGCCCTACTCCATGTGATGCCCCATGCGATACCCTGTTGGTCTTGCAGATTCGTTATGCCCGTTATGGGTTTAGGCCTTCAGTCCTTCGCGTGCAGGTTATGCAGCCCCCAATCTTTCCGTGCTAGCAGGTTGCGCAACCCTAAACCCGAAACCCCAACCCCCCCTCTCTCTCTATATATATATCTATGTGTATATATAATCTCTATATGTATAGTATATATATATATATATATATATATAAGTATATGTATATATGGTCACACCCGCCCCATGATCCACCCCAGCCTTCTAGCTATCTGTTCGTCCACAGTTTTATGTCTCCAAATGCTTTCTCCGAGGCCCGGAAACCATCGGTATTTACGGCGGTTTCTACACTTCACACATGCTGTCCTCTACTTATTGTGCTTGTTGGTGGTATGTGTAAGCCACCCAAAACCCAAACCAGAATCTGGTTCTGCGTCCGCGCTACTCGGAAGAAACACTTGAGATTTGCTCAACTAAGAATGACACTGGAAACCTCTTCTATGGCACAAGAAGGCTCCTGAGTCCCTTATCAGTGGCGAGAACTCAAAGAGCTTTTACCCCCCAAATTTCTGAAGCCTGAAGTGCGAAGACATGGGCAGGTATCAAATTTCCCCATATTTCCGAAAATCCTGGCATCTACGGAACATGCAAGGCTATAATCGCTCAGATGTTGGGAATTTGGGTGAAATTTGATCCCTGTCGATGTTTTCGCATTTCAGACTTCAGGAATTTTGGGGGAAATTTGATCCTTGCCCACGTTGTCGCATCCGAAGCTGCCCACGTCCCATAAACCACTGCTTTCGAAAAGCAGGTTCGGGTGGATCATGGGGGTGAGCATATATATATATATATACATATGTATATATGTATATATATATATATATATCTCTCTCTCTCTCTGTCTCTGTCTCTCTGTCTCTTTNNAAGCAGGTTCGGGTGGATCATGGGGGTGAGCATATATATATATATATACATATGTATATATGTATATATATATATATATATCTCTCTCTCTCTCTGTCTCTGTCTCTCTGTCTCTTTCTCGCTCTCTCTCTGTCCCTCTCTCTCTCTCTCTCCCTCTCTCTCTCTCTCTCTTGTATCCCTATGTAGAGATCACAAAGTTCCGGGCTTCGGGCCACGTGGCTTCAGGGGCGGGAGGGCTCGGCGCTGAAGGCTGGTGTTAGGAGGTGGCTTGTTTGGGGTTTTCAAGGTCTAGGTCTGGGTTTTTTACGGTTTAGGGTTTGGGGTTTTAAGGGTTAGGGTGTGGGGTTTAGGGTTTAGGGTTTAGGGTATTTAAGGTTTAGGGTTCGGGGTTGAAAGTTGGGAGGGGTCTGAAGGTTTGGCGACTCCCAGACCGTGACATGCGACCTCTTGAGGCCTCAAACCCTACGGCCCAAGAGCTTTAACTCCACCAACCTTGAAGGAGTAAAGTTTAGGGTTTAGGGTTTAGGGTTTAGGGTTTAGGGTTTAGGGTTTAAGGAGTAAAGCCCCGTAAACCCCAGCCCTAATCAGATCTGCCCAACTACAAACTCCTCACTCCAAAACCTCTGCCTGGAGCCGGCCGGCTCTTCAACAGGAGGCGGCCATCGAGCAGATCGGGGAGCAGGAGCCAGGCCACTAACACGAGGCAGGGCGCATGGTCCTTTGTTTGTGCTCTTCCTGTATAAGGTCACATTACCGTAAGTACGATTACATTATTCACCATGTATTATTCTACCATAGTATGGGTTCCTAACCCTTTGACAGAACTATGTCGGACGAGGCTCTCTTCTCGTCTTTGGGGAGTCATGCTTCGGAGCTTTTGCTTGAGGGTTCAGGTTTACTTTGTAAGATTTCGAGAGGGTGGGGATTCAGGACTTGCTGTTTGGCAGTGTGCAGCGCTGACAGAAGACACGAGACGTCGGGCCGATTGTGTCCGCAATTTTTCCGCAGGCTGCCCGCATGGTAGTCTCTCGTTGCTTTGCGAAATTTTTGCCCACTCTGAATGGCCAGCGCTGAATAGTCAGAGTCTCCCTTTTTCCGACCTGTATGGCGGTTCTTTCCCTGGTTCTACTCGTGACGTGGCTGCTGGGAAGTGCCTTGAGCCACCGGTTGCAGGACACGGTCCGGGTGCCGGGGGTGGTAGAGGGGGAGGCGATCAGCGCGGAGCAAATTCAGGGCGAGCTGCAGCAAGAGTTGCCAGAGGCCGGATCTTCCCTGGCAGACGCCCTGGCACGTTACCCCATCTTTAGGCCGCCCACAGAAAGGAGCGCCCTGTTTCTGCGAGGGGCCCTGAATGCGCGGACGGACAACACAACTTGCCAGCACCAGCTGGGTGGACTCCTGAGAGCTCTCATCGCCGCCTGCCATGAGAAAACCCGGGTTGGCTATGACTATGAGCACAAGCAGCTGTTTGGTCCCTCGGGCTTGAAGCCGAAAACTTGCCAAGAGAGCGCTAAAGACATCTTCCTTCACGGCGAGGAATTGGTCGGCACCTATCGCGTACCGCCAGAGCTGGTGGCACATGGCAAAGTGCCAGAAGCGACTTTACCTTTGGTGCAAAGCCTGGACTTCCTCAAGTCCTGGCTCATCCCACTGGCAACCGCCAAGAAGGATGCACTTATTTGGGCTGGTTTTTGGACAGATCCCCATGATCCTCATGGGAGGCAGAGAAGGAGTTCAGTCGAGATGCTCGCTGAATTTGCACAGCGAACCGAGCACGACACCGTGCACCCTGACACAGTACTGGGAGCTCTGATCGAAAAGCACGGGGCCTTGGGCCGTTGCTCCGACACCATGGAACACCACTTGATAGAGAATCTCTGGAAGCTGGCAAGCTTTGCCTTCGTCTCCGGCATGCGAGAGAAAGGTCAGAACACCGTTATAGCCTTGGTGAACAAGGAGCTTGAGGGCGAGCGCTCCTTGCAGAAGTCTGTTCTCTACAAATACGAGGTGCCGACGTTGGGGCTTGCGGCATGGGGCATGGGCTACTGGTCTCCCAAAGTTCTCCTCATCGACTTGAAAGGCTCGTGTGCCCGGACGAGCCCGGCACTGCGCAGGCAGATGTTTGGAGGTCTGAAACCTTGGTACCTGGACAGGAGGAAGGACCTCGACTTTTTTTCCACCAAAAAACAATGGCTTGTGGTTGGATTCGGATCATTATAACTATCGTTCCGCAACGACGAGCAACTATTGCATTTTCTGTTGTCGTTCGTATCCCAGCTGTCATTATTGCCAATACGATGGCCGGTCTTGTTATCAACGTGACTACCACCGTCCAAGTCTAAGGAGCAAAAAGAGCCGTTGCTGAGATCATTGCTTCCGCTTCCTTTACTACTGGCTGCAGTACTCTCGTTGCGGGTTAGTCTATCATTGTCGCACTTCTAACAAAGCCACGAAATACGGGCCCGCATTTCGCACATTGCCGACATGTATACGCTATTTCCCGTGTCGTTGGAATAGTGATGTTGGTTATTATCATCGCCGTCATCATCGTCATCATGTTCATCATCATCGTCATATCTCCTCTGGTTTTTTAAGTGCTCTTCCTCTTGTTGCCACGGTGACATGAAAATCACATTATCGGGAGCTGGTATCGTGAACTTTATCTGTATGAGTAGTAATCTTCGTTCTCGGACGACGTAGACTTCTCGGCTCGGGTCTAGGGTCATGATCTCGACATGTTGAGCATACTCAAAGTCGTGGCAGCATTGTTGTGTCTCCCTTGGTTTGGTGTGTAACCGTTGCAAAAGTAGATCTGGGCAACCCTTCGGCAAACTCTTAGCAACGTCTTTTCGCGTGATCAAATTCTGCCTCCTGCAATGAAAGGCTCTGCTCGGAGGGCCCTGTTAGGTGGGGAATTCATTGATCAGGAGTCACATGGGAGTTGCCGAAAATAGGGGGTACCTTTTTCAGGGGTCATTATAATCAGGATCCTACTATTACTATTTAGGGTGCTATATTAGGGTCCCCTATTTTCGGAAACCTTCACATCACCCGCCGTAAGTCAACTTGAAGAGCCTGTACGACTATTGTCATTGTCATGGCTACGTTAGCCTCGCAACTTCTCCGGCTGGGATTACGAATCTCTTGTTATCTTGGAAAACAAGCAATCTGGGTGGTTGTCAAAATTATGGTCCCTTTTTGGGTCCTTGTTATAATACGGCACCTATTATTTCGGGGACCCCAAAAGGGACCATAATTTTGACAACTACCCATCTTCCAGGATCATTGGAGCGCGCAAGAGTTTGCTGCGAAATCTCGCGTCACCTGGCAGTGTTGGAACTGTCCGAAGTCCAGTTGTAACCTCGACCACCAGCTGGCCGCGCGCGTGAAGACCCTGCGGGAGGCCAGCTTCGGCGTCAGGGTTTGGTCTTTGTGCGATGCTTAGCGAGCATAGCTTCTTCCTTTCCTGTTCTCATAATCCCAAGAAGTTGCTACTACATAATCATTCTGAACTGCTAGTATACAACATGACTGGCGAAATAGCGGCTAGAACGAGACCACGCAGAAGAGCCTGAGGGGTCGAGTAGTGTGGTACTGCGGCACTGTGCCAACCCTCCAAAATGCCTCATAGAAGCCGGGTTACAGAACCACAACTTGCACCCATTGGCTTCGGATACTGCTGCTAGGACTGTAGACGCATGGAGCATGGGTTTTTGGAGTTAGGAGGGCCAATCCCTAAACCCTAAACCCCAAACCTAAACCCTGAAACCCTAAACCCTAAACCCTAAACCCTAAACCCCAAACCTAAACCCTAAACCCTAAACCCTAAAACCCTAAACCCTAAACCCCAAACCTAAACCCTGAAACCCTAAACCCTAA